AGAAGTTAATTTCAATGATGCAGAGCTTTCTGTTTCAGGGAGGCCTGGCTTGCACGTTGTGATAGATTCAGGAGGAAGTATAATCCATTGTTAAATTGTTAAACAGCACGTTAGGCGCAAGTATCTAGGCGGAGATGAATGGGTTCATTTGTAACCTTAAACAAGCGTGTCTGCGTGTGGGAGGGTAGGGATGGGAAGCTGGGATGACCCATCAACAAATGCCAGATGAACAGTTGCACTTCGGGTTTTGGTGTTTGGAAAGTAGCCAAAATAACCTTCAGGGAAGAGAAATTAGCCCTGTCTGCTTATAGGGCAATTCTGCAGATCGTCCAGTCCTCGCCTCCTGTGCCATGTGCTGCCCTTCAGCAAAATTGCAGAGTGCAATGGCTCTGCCATCGTCTTCACCTCTCTTCACCCTCTGCGCATAAACAAGCAAAGCACCTCGGCGGGAGGAAGGATCCTGAGCAAGTGTAGGGCAGAGGGAACTTGGGTCTCATGGGTGGCATCTGAGCAAAGCGGGCATGTTTCTGATTTCTGCAGTGCTGCTAATTCTGGATTGCGTTGAAGGTGCTCGTGAGCAAGGGCGCCAAAGTTGCAGATGTGCTGTGCAGTGTAAAGTTCAGAAGCCAAAGGCGATACGGGTCTAAAGTAAATACGAACCGTGAAACACTGCGCTGGTAGGACAGGGGAAATGTTTCCCTCTTAATTCTTTCTCAGGACATAAATCTCATATTTTCAAGTCCTGACTGGTACTTAAAATGAGGGGTTTTTCTATCGCAAGGTCACAAATGTTGGTACTCCCTTCCCTCCTAAACACGTCAGAAGTGTTGCAGGAACACACGTAAAAAGACTTTATGCCAACCGCGTTATTGCCAAACAAACTCTGTTGAGTCTGAAATGCCTTACTCCGTCCTCCTGTGCAGAGAGGGCAGTTTGCTGGAGTGAAAGTAAAGGGTTGGTTTGCAGCTCCTTTGAGTTCACCACCTGGGAAAATAAAGGTTTCATGGGATGGGACCCAAAAAATCTGCTGTCTTTTCAGGCCTGGGATCAGTTAATGGCCCTGACAGCTCAAAAGCCTGAGCAACGGCCACATGATTCAACACGTGTAGCTTGAATCCTGTGAAGTGCTGAGCACCTCTCAGTTGCAGCTGCCCGTGACTGACTGCACTCAGAGATGGAGGTCTTCTCACTCATCTGAGCTCTGGAGAGTCCCAGAATGCCACCAGACCATGAGTCTGCTCTAAGAGAGCCCAGTGACTTCCTCAAAACACCACCCATGTTTGCATCTCAGGAGAGAATGACCGGCATCACCAACTCCACATCTTATTTTGGAAAGCTTTGGGACTGCTTATGTTAAGCAGCCTGATGTTGAAGCCCCTCCTGTATCTTCACACAGTTTTATTTACAGCTCAAAATAAAGAAAGCAGTAGTTCTTGACTGGTACTATTAATGTATACACTGTATATCAAGTTTATTGCAAAGTCTGTTAGCAAGCTACCAGCCTAGTTTTTAATCTGCAGATAATCTTACTCTCATTTATATGTTTGGGCTGTATTACTTTGCCCGGCGTAGGCGCAGCCATTGGAATCCATCCAGTTCACCTAACAACTTTCATTAAAGAAAATTACCCTTGTAATAAAAATTACTCAGTGTGACAAGATTCCATAATATATTTTTTAAAGCCTCGTAAAATTTTGTAGCAGTTAATGCCACTTGTTTAGGGTGGGTTTTTTTAGATTTTCTTTTAAAAGCAAAAATTGACTTAATTGTGGCAATATTTGTCATAGAATGAAGTAACTGTTTTCCATCTGGGCGTAGGGAGGCCAGGCTGGGTGGCAGGAATAGCACGGGGATATGGAAATAAGAAAACCTTGTCTTTGAAAAGTATGTTTGATTGTGTTTTGTGCATTGTTTGCGAGGTGGCTTGAAAGTCTGAGTCCTTCGTAAGGGAAAGAAGATACACTGAAGTCTGCTCACTTGCAGTTCATGGTACGTAACTCTTAACCTCACAAACTGCCGTGATCAAGCATGGATTTTCCTGCAGCACTTGGCAGCAGCTTATCTGAGCGTCGTCCCTCCTGGCTGCGAGGACAGCGCTTGGTGTGTCCCCTGCGTCAGGGCGAATACGTGGGTGCTGGGGAGCACCCGTAGCTGTGCCTTGCTGCTTCCAGCCGTCGCGGGCAGAGGAAGATTCCTCAGGAGGGAGGTGTTTCCCACCAACGTGGCACAGAGCAGGCTACTCGCTCCAAGTGTGAAATGCCTTGGTAATTCTTACTGTGGAAAGCTGGTGAAGAAGTGCTGAAGAATCAAACCCAGCCGTTGGGAATGGAATGGGAAGCCAGTGGATTAGCCTTCCCGCTGTCTCTTTGCAGTGTACTCGCCTGAGAAAACTCTGTGGCCCCTATGCCTTCTGTTCTCCAGTTAGACTGTAGAACTGGGGAAATCTCTCCGTTGGTAACCGCGTGTTCGTAGATGTAAGTCAGCCTGTCCTCAGTCAGCCTGTAGCACGCAGCCACCGTCACCGCTCCGCGGCCGAGTCCCGCGGCGCTGGGCTCAGCTGCGGGTGCGTGAGACCAGCCGAAGCCACGCGCGTGTTTCTTGGCGGCGGGCTCAGCAGTGCCGTGCTCGTACCCTTGGAGGAATCGGTTCGGGGCCTTCAGGTGTCACGGGGGTGAGATTGCACGGCAAGCCAGCACAGTTAGAAAGGTGTACCATGCCGAAACGTAAAATGGCCAGCACACTGGAGGAAGACCAACCTCTGGGGTCTTTCACAGTCTCATCTTCTTGTCTCTGTCAAAATAAGGAGGTGCAGAAAGTCTGTATCTATCTTCCGTTGGTTTGGAGCTTTAGATTTTTCAGGACTTTCCAGTGCTTGATTGTTCTGGTTTAGATAATGTAAATATTGTAGCACTTGCAAGACCAGACCCCACGGTATCTGTGGCAACTCTTAGGGGAATCGGACCCAGAGCTTCTGGCCACCTCCTTTGTTATACTGAGCACCAGCAGCCATTCCCATTCTCACGTGCCTCGTCTGGGGTAGGTTAACGGAGGTGTACCTCCTGCCTTGGGCTTAGCTGGTGTATGCGTGAGGTGAGGATTGTTTTTCTCCTTCCTGATGAAATAATCTTCTGTGATAAGCTAAAAAAGGCCAGGGCTGAGCGGTGATGTTAAACAGTGGTGGTGGTGGTGCTTTTTTCCTTTTGGCTTTTTAAGTCTACCCACTGCCTCGGGAGGAAGGCAGCTGCACTAATATATCTAGTCTCTATGTAAGGCCCTTATTTGAAAAATCTGTAATTGAGTGGATGAAATTTCTGGTTGTTTGAGAGGATCTATTCAGAAGAGACTTGAAAAGGATGAGGGAAAGGCATGCTAGATGGCAAGAAGTACTAAGGCCTCTATTGAGCAGGGAAACCTATGTAGATATTGTGGGACAATTAGACTTGTCAGGCAAAACACTAAAATGCATTTGTGAGCAAAAATTCCTGGGGAATGTTAAATAAAGCTTTGAAAAGGGCAAAGAGCTTGCTAGGAATACCTCAAAAGCAAAGAAGTTGATTTGGGTGATCTTTGAAGGAAGGCAGGTGACGGCTGCTTCTAAGAGAAGGTGCAGAATGTGTGTTAGTCATAGGGATTTTGCCCATTTTTGTCCTCCGGTAGCTAAGAGCCTGAAGCACAATTGCTGGGTCAGCACCATGGGGGAGAGCTCCTAACTCAGTTAAGTTTATTTGCCCCTTTGCTCTTTTTAGACAGCTGTTCCAATGGCTTCCCTGGCGCCCTGTTCAGGGCTGCGCTCGCACTGCCTGCCTGTTCAGCCCCTGCCTTTCGTGCCTGCTCTGGGAGCCACGGAAGGCTCTGCTGTACAGGATGGGGTGGATTTGTTCCCTGTAGTTAAGGCAAATAGATGTGCGAGGTTTTTTGTATTTGAATGATTGCCTCTGTTCAGATTTTGTTGGGTGAGATTTCAGATTAGCTAATTGCTTAGATGTGACAAAGCAGCTTTTGCCTAGCGAGGCTTGTTTCCTCGACCGGTCGCCGGTGGCAGGGGCTAGTGTGGCGCATTAATGAACAGTCCCTGGCACGCTGTGAATGGGGATTGCTGTCAAGTCAGTCAGAACTTCAGATGCCTAAAGATGAACCCGTTAGTGATTAGGCCAGCATCAGCTCTTCGACTATTTTTAGGATTTTCTTTGGTGCTTCACTCTTTGATGTAAAGACAGCTGTGTGCCCCTCACTCTTTCTGTACACCCAGCTTTTTATTTCCACGTCTGAACAAGCTGGCTATTGTTTTGATCGCTCAGTAATCTTTTTCTGCAGCTCTCCTGTTTAAATTCTCGTTAATCGTGGTGACTACAAGTGTCTGTGCTAATTCATGTGGCTCCAGCCCATATTCAGCAGCATAAATATTTCCTCGAGGTATCTCCTGATCAGCATTTAACGTAGCCTTCCAAACACGTTCAGCGGCTGGATCTGCCGTGCCGGCTCGGCGGGATGTCTGACTAGGCTTTTTGCTGCTCGCTCTTTAGGCATGAGTGGATAGTCATGTTGTGTGTTTTGAAGAAACCTCACGGAACCTAAATGGCCCAAGTGCAGTTTAGTTCTGAAATAAACTGTCCTGTGACAGTGTGTCCTCTAAGCTGCCCTGGTTTTCCACAGAAGTGCCTGAGAATCCCTGCTCAGATAAAGTTCTCCCAGACATCTGCCAGCTGGCTTTTATTCCCTTTCCTCTTCTGCTTTCTTTCTCATCCTGCACTCCTCCATCTTTTCCTAGTTCCTCTCCTTTTTTATTGTTTCTAAGGTTTTGAACATCTTCAGAAGTGTTGGTTAAGTAGTGATGTTGAAACCTTGGATTTAAAAGAAATTATTCTGACTTCCTTTTTCCTGTTACTGCATTTGTTAACTGTTTAAGTTGCATTTTCAAAGACATCTCCTTCTGGTAAAGAAGGGGCTGCATTTCTAAGGAATTAATTGCTACAGTGTTTAAATTTCTCATTTTCATGCAGAACACCTGAAGAAACGCCTGGAAGATTACATGGCCCAGTTCCCAAACGTAAGAATCCTCCGGACCAAAAAGAGAGAAGGGCTGATAAGAACGCGGATGCTGGGGGCCTCGGTGGCCATAGGGGACGTCATCACCTTCTTGGATTCCCATTGCGAGGCCAACGTGAACTGGCTGCCCCCTCTGTTAGGTAAGTGTGTGGAGCTTGGCTGGCAAACGTGGGCAAAAGGAAGATAAAATGTTTTAAAAGGGAAAAGAAACAAACAAAAACCACCAACCAACCACAAGACTCGGGTGATTGTTGGCAGCTTGTAGCCTGTAACACAAGATACTTTTTTTCTGGTTCTGGAGACCTGCACAGTACAATAACCATATCATATGCTTTGCTTAATTAAAAAGCAGAGATCACAGTATTCTGTTTCCTCACTAAATGAAATCTTAAATAATTTACAGCTTGCTAGAGGAGTAAACTATCGCATGGTCACTCAGCAGCTTGCAGAGAGGAATGGCTTTAGGATACAGAAAAGATCTTTACATAGAATTTTTTAGCAGCTTTTAAGGGTTTTTTTCTCCTGTATAGCTGTATTTATCTCCATAGTCTACAAGTCTGTGGAAAATACTTCTCATGAATGACAGCTGCTGGTATGTATTTGTAGAGCATATGCAGTCCTCTCCAAGGCAGTACTCCATCTTTAAGGAGGTATCAGTTTTACGATGTCACTTCTTTTCAAGGATGATTAATTGAATCACAGACTCACAGAATGGTTTGGGTTGGAAGGGACCTTAAAGACCATCCAGTTCCAACCCCCCTGCCATGGGCAGGGACACCTTCCACTAGACCAGGTTGCTCCAAGCCTCATCCAGCCTGGCCTTGGACACTTCCAGGGATGGGGCATCCACAGCTTCTCTGGGCAACCTGTCCCAGTGCCTCCCCACCCTCTGCAGGAAGAACTTCTTCCTGATATCCAATCTAAACCTCCCCACTTTCAGTTTAAACCCGTTACCCCTTGTCCTGTCACTACAGGCCCTTGTAAAAAGTCCCCTCCCAGGGGAAAGGTGCTTTGAAAGGACAGTGCTTTCTGGTACCTGTATGCCTCCGGCCAGTACCAGTCTCCTTTACAGCCCTATCGCAAGTGGCCTGTCAGAGCTCTCTCTGAGGTGCAACTTCGTCAAATAAACTGTGGCAGCAATAATCGAGCAGAGATTTAAGAAAAACTAGTCAGATTTGTCAGCAGGATTGTTGGATGCCATACTGTTGCTTTCACTGGTTTGTATCTGGTAATAGTCTAAAACATCTGCAGGTTCGTGAGCCCCAGGGAGGGAGGACAGAATTAGCCCAAATGCCATTTAACTGAGAACAGGGAGAGTATGCTTTAATTTTAAAGCGTAGAAAGGATTTCTGTTAGACACAGAGTGGAAGCTGAAATACTGTTTGTCGCCTCTGCTCTGAAAGTGAATTTCCAACAGGAGACCAGCTCAGGAATAAAGTATTTAAGAAGTTCCAGATGGTTATGCAGGAATTAATCCTGTCTTGTAGTATTTGGTTGGAAGAAAAGGTTGAGGGGAGGAGGTACACTGCATTTCTTCAGCCTGCTGAGGGTAGCTGTGCCATTAGTCGGAATCGCTTCCTGCCGGATTCTGGCATTGCAATTAAAGGTAGGTGGTACCATGGGTTTCTGCCCGGGCTTTGAATCAGTGCAGGAAGGGTTCACATCCCGGCCGCTCGTTAACATGACCGCTGTTCACTATGAGACCGGTTTTAGCCTGGTGGTTTAGGTATCCGTGGGAGTGCGACTGTCTTTCCACTCTGCTTCTGGTCGCTGTAGCACGAGTGTCTGGTGTTTTTATCCCCATAGTTTTAGCTTGAATATCTCCATTATTGCAGAAATACCAGATAAATTGCTATGAATTGCAGCATCTGCCCCAAAGAGCACCAACGGGGAAAAAAGCTATGTTGCTTGGACAACTTCATATGTTGATGCTGTTTTCTGTAATTTCATGGTCAACGGAACCAACTGGTGTGGGTTTTCTAACACGTTTCTCCAATCTTCAGATCGCATTGCCCGGAACCGCAGGACTATCGTTTGCCCCATGATTGATGTTATTGATCATGACCACTTCGGATACGAGACTCAGGCTGGAGACGCAATGCGAGGGGCATTTGACTGGGAGATGTATTACAAGAGGATCCCTATTCCTCCGGAGTTACAGAAACTTGATCCCAGTGATCCCTTTGAGTAAGTTACGGAAACGCAGTGCGCTAAGAGCTGGCTAACAACACCACCCTGCTACAAGGGTTGCTTTACACCTCGGTGCAGTAGAAGTCAGAAGCTGGTGTTAAGCTGCTTGCTTTTTGGCAGCTGTTTGCCTTGCTGGTTTAAAAGAAATGTATTGTGTAGTAGCTGTGAATACTCTCCGTTTCATTGCTATTTTTTGCCACCTTAATTCCGCAGAAGTTAACATTTCATTTAAAACTGTAATGTGTAACACTTAATGCGATCATTTATTACTGAGATCTTTCAGACATAACTCAGAATCCCTAACGCTCTGCCAAAAACAACAAACCAGTGGCAGCTTACGTGTCATTCCCGGGTGGGGGCAAGAAAACCTCGCAGAATAATTACAGCAATTTTGATGATTGCAGTGCGTTGCAGAAGTAAATCCGTGGTCAAGTTACGTTCTGCTGTTGCCGCACTTGCCGACACGGAGCCAGTTCCGCTGCCCTTTATACTGCTGCAGTGTTCCAAAAAACCCAGCTAAATACCTTTTGAGGTCAAGCTCAATGACTTATCGTACTTGTGGGACAAAGAGCACCACAGACACAGCATGTGGGTCCCTCTGGGAGAGGTTACATCCTGTCACCTGATGGGAACCCTTTGCCACTTTGGAGAAGGGGCATTGGCTGGTTCTGAAGGGAGCCTGGTCTGGCCCTCCTCATGCACAAGTGGGAGATCAGTAGGTAGTGCAAACCCAGGTGTTTGATGCTCTGACGGGGCTGCGAAGGCACCGAGGGCACTGGGTGGTGAAAAGAATATTTGTCAACTCTTGCTTTGGTTTTTTTTAAATGTTTTGCTGGAGATCTGTATGTTTGAATGTGTTTGTAATATGGAGTCTGGTTTTTTCTTAAGGTCTCCTGTAATGGCTGGAGGACTGTTTGCAGTCGATAGAAAGTGGTTCTGGGAGCTGGGAGGGTATGATGCAGGTCTGGAGATATGGGGAGGAGAGCAGTATGAAATATCCTTTAAGGTGAGCTATGTTCTCTGGAAATTACTTTTGTTTTGAACAGAAAGAATTGTTCTGAGGCACAGAATGTGAATGATCTGTCTTGTCTTTGCTTTTGCGTGTGACTAAAGGTGAAAGAGCTGGGAGTAGTGAGATAGGACTCAGAAGAAAGTGGTGACGTGAGCAGATCTTTGTGAGGGTCAGTTTGGGGCATGATTAGCTGGGGTGTCCCCCATTCTGTGGTCCCAGCCTCAGATGCACGTGCTCTTCCCAGCAAGCGTAAGTCAGCTTGCGTGGAGCTCACTGACTGTTAGGCTTCTTAGTACTCACCTTGGCAAGAAGATGAAATACTCTCCTTCTTGGGGGCAGCAGGATTTGGGCAGCGCAGCGTTTGCCCAGCTGAGTACCTCAGTCCTGAGCTTGAGTTCCCAGAGATGGGTGTAACTTACTGTCTGTAGTCAATCCATCTGACTCCTGGCTGGAAGGAACGGAGACAATTAATTACCCAGTAAGAAATCTTCAACAATCGGCATAATAACGCTGTTGCTGGCAGTGACTTCAGGTCATTATCTGCCTGGCTTGGGGACAATTCTGTTGCTTATTGACCAAGCTATTCAGTTGAGGGCTTTAAATTAGAGTGAGCCAGCTGACCAAAAATGCGTACGAATAGCAACAAGTCACTGTGACCCATGAACACCACTGGTACCTGTGTTATCTTGGAATATGGCACTCTGAAATCCGTTCTAGGAAACCTACTGGAATGTCCCAGATCCCTGAAGTCAGGTGGCTAGTCTTCTCCAGGGCCCGGCAGTAACTCCGGGCCGCTGTGCAGTTTCTCTTTCCAAGGCTGAAGATCTAATCTTACAGGTGTCTGGACACCACTGAACTAAGCGAGTTGCCCTCCGCACGAGGCTAGAAGATGACAGCGATGCTATCGCAGTGCAGGGTTTAGCTCATTCCTCACCTCTCTCCCCAGCAAAAGAAGTCACGGCTCATCTCTCAGAACAGATTCCTAATTCTCGATGCTGCTACGCAATTCAAAGGCATGTTGAACTGTATTCAGCAGGCTGCATTACCGTGCATACACACCGTGTACAGCTCTGCAGCAAACAGGGCAAGGAAAGACACTGTCTTCCGTGGTTTGCTCGCAAAAACCCAAAGTAATCGAGTCACACTGTCCTCTGTAACAGCAGCAGGAAGGATGGGGCTGGGGGAAGCACCCTCTTTGGAGATGTCATTATGGTTAGAGCCGTCTGTTCTTTGCCTTGGGTGTAATGACATGGTGTGACAATGGCCTTCTCTGCAGGAGGGGCAGGGGCAGCATTCAGCCTCTTTGCCTTGGCCCGTTCTGAAAATGCTGGTTTCCAAGAGCGATGACAGAGGCTGGGCGAGCCCTTTGTCTCTGGTGCCACAGCACAGTCACCCTGCTTGGTCGGCAGGAAATAAGACTACTTCATTCATCTGTTTGCTTATCCTCTGGGAAACACGCTGCGTTTTATTTCGGTCCAGAGATGGTAATTTATGGAGGGATAAATTTGCTTTAATCAATCTCTGCAAAGACCCCCTTTATTCTTTCATTGTGCAACAGAAAAAATGAAGTTTTAACTGAAAGAGGCTCAGTGTATTTTCAGAAATTAAGATAAATTGATACATTCATCTGTGGTTGATAGATTTAATAATTCTGCTGGAATTGCAAGAATAGAAGGTTTGTTCGTAGAATTTATGAAGCTATGACATTTCCTGGCGTGCTTAGCGCTATGTTTTTACCTTTAGAAGCAGACTGAGATTTTGTAGTTAAAGGGGTACTGTCAAATAATTTAAAGCTCTGGGTTTGGATGTGGGGTACCTGCTTTCATGTTATTTATTATCTAATGGGAATTCCAATTTGGGCCACATTTACAGCCCGGCTTTAACAACAAATCCATTCCTGTGCCTGGGGGCTGTGGGTGCGGGTACTCTCTTGTGCTGCTGGTCTTCGATCCACTGCGTCAGATCTGGCCTTCTTGAGCCTCACCAGGAGTAGACTTTTTTATTTCTTTTTTTTTTTCCCCTTAAGCATATTCTTTCTTGGCCATGTATGGACTGTGCTTTGCAGTTTTTTGCCTTTATTTTAAAATCCAGGGCTCTGTTGCTGAGAGACTGGAAATAAACAAGTTTATTTAGGAGCTTCTTGCCTTTCTGTTTTGAGACTACACGTATTTCTGTCATCAGCTGGCTCGGCTTCCTTCAGAGAAGAAACTTTCAGGCTGAAGGCAGAGAAACCATCAGTGTTCAGCACCTCAGAAAACATGTAGCTGGAGGATGGATCAAACTCTATTAATATAAGCCTTGCTCCTTGGATGAAATGTGTATAAAAAATTTACGTGAACTTTAAATTAGAAACAAACTTTCTGACCCTGACTGCTGGTTTGCAGTTTTCTGGGTGTTCTCAAGCCCTTAAACCAGAAATTTCTAGGTAAGAAATGAAGGATTCAATCTATCCTTCCCATATTCATGCAGAAAACACGCACTTCTGCCTTCCGACCTGTGTATTCCAGCAGAGCTCAGTGCCTATAACCCAGTGCTTCAACAGCTCAGGGGTCTTCCCGTTTCAGGCCATCCCCTGGCACACCAGGAAGGTTGCAGTCTGGAATGTTAGTTGCAGGCGTTACACCTTGAAAATTCAGTTCAGGTATTCAAAATCGAATGCTTTACCCAAAGTGACAATGTGGCTTTCCTCTCCTGAGCACAGTGTAATAGCTCTGGTTTTCTGAATGCTCCTGCCTACGGAACAACTTCATTTTCTTTGAGATTAGCGTATTTAATTCGGAGCAGTATATATGAAGCCTTTAAACTGTTCCTTTCATTTCCGTACAAATGCTAATTTGTACGGCACTTACGTACGCTCAGTTTTATTTGAGATCATACTGCCTCTTCTTCAGTATTTGTGTGGTTTGTCTTACGTAATCCTCACTAAACTGCTTCACACCTCTCTTCCATAAATATATAGTCTCTGATTTTTGGGGTGAGGGGAAACAGAAGAGGAGAAAGTGATGTCTCTGACTTGAATAGGCATACATATAGCTGTGTTATGTACCGCAGATCTTGAGTGATGTGATTCTCAATTCTGTAATTGTACATTGTTCTTCAAGAGCAAAGAATGAGAATCCGTAATGTCCCTCACTAAGTGATAGATCATGTCAGTTTTAGAAATACTTGTTCTGTAATTTGGAGCTTGTAAAGCCTTCATGAAATTGAAAGGGCTTGATGCAAACAAGCCATATGGGTAGTTGCCCTGAGAAGAACAATTAAGGGGAGACCGAGGAGATGGGCAGTACTCATGGTCTTCTCTCCCTGCTTCAGCAATAGGAAATGTCCTGGTGATCACAGATCCTTTTCCCAAAGCAGCAGCAAGGATTGCTCCTCCTCATTTCCAAAGCCTACAACACGTTGCATGTTTTCCAGCAAACCCCAGTGCTCCATAGCTTCTGTTTGCCCACCCGAGGCATGCACCTCCTTACCCCACGTCAGCAGTGCATTTCGGATGCACGTTTGGCCCCGGGCAGGGATGTAGTTCGGGTGCAGCTGCCAGGGCATCACTTCTGGCAGCACTTGTAGTTGTGTCACTGAAGTTAGTGCCATGGTGAGCTTCCACTGCTTATTCTAAGCACATTCCAGCAGCTCACGTTTGCCCACACTGAAACAGGTGGCTTCTTCTCCCATCCTGTCTGGTGACGCAGAGCTCAGTTTCAGACCACTGACTTGAATTTTTGGCCTCTGTTCACCCTACGTGCTTGGTGCAGGTTCCAGAGTAGCCTCCCACCTTCCCAGCATGACAACGAACCCCTCCCTCCACTCCGAAATGTGGTTGTTGGGAAGTGCTGTTGTTACTCTGAAGTGCTGCAGACGGTAAGGCAGGGCCATGCTGGTGTGTGCAGTGTGAGAAGGCGTTGTGCAAACGCATAGATCCCAGCGCCTTTTGGGCTGCCTTAATCTTTTCGAGAGCAGTAAGCCCCAGCTGCAAGAGCAGCCGACGCTGACAGTACAGAGGATTAGTTTTCCTGTCCTGCTGGTTGCCCTTGCTCTCATCCTCTCACCGACCTCGTTATGCAGAGACCCCCCTTGTCTTACCCACTGCGTCCTTCCCTTCCCACCTTCCAGTGGTGCTCACACAACCAGCCAGCTTCTCTCCGTTGGTCTGTGCCGTGGTCTCTCCTTCTGTGTGGCTTGCAGAAGCAGCTTTCTTTTCAAGGCTTGACTCTTTCCTTTGTGTTTTTTCCTCTCTTGGGAAGCATTGGCTCGTCATGGTGCAGTCTTTGGAAACCATAAACCTTGTATACCCAGGTAATTTGTGTTTGCACACCAACTGCGGTATTGTATTGTGTGTTGGAGAGGAGAGGTTCAGCTGTCTGACACAACATTGTTTTCTGAAATAGCAGAAAGGGAATTGGATCAGCATAACGTTCCCATGTAGAGAATAGGCAGCGTATTATCTTGTGCTTTCACAGCACACTAGCTGAGTCAAAGGCTCTTGAGTTGCTTTATGAATATGGAGTTACAGCTCTCCAGGCCACTGAGAAGATGGAGGTAATATCACCAGAGTTATTTTACTTCTCTTGTATAAGGCTTTGTTATTAGGGCGAGATTATGGCCTTAGAAAAATCTGTTGCAGGTGCCCATTGACCTCAGTGTAGCCAGGTTTTCCCTTAATTCCAGCAGACCTGTCAGCTGCGAGGTTCCTAGCTCAGGTTGTAGATGGGTAAAATTCTGCCTGAGGAGGAAGAGAAATTTCCTGTTCGCTCCTAATGAGATCTGATTAGATCATTGTATAACGCACTGTCTGCCTGAGCAGCTTTAATTCCTGTTCTTACGGCGCTGTAGTAAATGGCTGATTGAAATGAAGCGTGTCAAGTCCAGGCTGCGGTGTTTGCTGCGGTGTCAGCCAGGGAGGTGCGCACCATCTCGCCCTCCCGCGAAGCGGCCGGCGGCCCTGGCTGCA